AAAATTAAAACAAAAATAGAAGTAATCAATAAAACAAAGGTGTTTCTTTAAAACAAAAAAGAGAGACTATTAAAATTGACAAAATTCTTGCCAAACACATATTATCAATACTAGGAATGAAATAAGTATATTTATATAGATGCTGGAGACATTAAAAAAAGGATAAATAGTTCTAGATACTAAAATATGACAATTTAGATGAAAAGGAACAATTCTTTGAAGAGTACTAACTACCATAGCTCACACAATATAAAATGTTTTTGTTATGTACTGTAGAGTCCAGTGCCAACCCATAGTGACCCTGTATAGGGTTTCCTGAGGACCAGTTGGTGAGCTTGAAACTTCTGACCTTGCAGTTCAAAGGGCTTTGCAGTCTGGCACATTCATCCACAGTGCCAAGTCATGTGAATCTCTTAGTGCCTTAGTTTCCTAGCATTGTTGTAACAGAAATACCACAAGTGTGTGACTTTAAGGAACAGAAATTTATCTTTCCACAATTCTGGAAACTAGATGTCTCAATCAGTTTCAGTCTGTTGATTCCTTCCTGTGTGCTCCTTAATTCCATAATTTATAGATGATCCTCACATAGAGTCTGTCTTTTCCTGTATGTGTGTGTCTCTGTATCTATGCTATTCTTTTTGTAACTCAGAAGTTGGTTTAGGTTTTATACTATACTGAAAAGACCTCAAAAGATCAATTAATTACATTACATTAGATTGCACTGTAGACAGTGATTGCATCACATTAGATGGCATTATGGAGAGAGATTATTTGCATTGCATTGCATTACAATAAATGTAAAGGCATTACATTACATTATAGTCAGTGTATGGATTAGGATTGCAACACACAGTTTGGGAGAGCACAACTTAATTCCTAGCATTCCATCCTTTGGCCCCCCAAATTAATGTCATTTCTGTTAATTTTTATTCACTCTATCACATCATCCCCTCAAATCTTCACCCATTCCAGCATCAAATCCAAAATTTCATCTTCTAAATCAAATATGAGTGAGACTCTGGGTGAATTCCATCCTGGGCAAAATTCTTTTCTATCAGTGGACCTATGGAATAGAAAAGTAGACATTGAAAGGGAAAACAACCTGGCACCACTCATCAACCACACTGCACACCAGATGGCCCGTCTAGAGACTTTTATTCAGGGTGAGGAAGAAAAAGGTGACCTCTGCCGGAGAGAGAAGGCAGGAGGCAGAAGAGAAGAGAAGAAGAAGAGGCAGAAAGAATAGAGAGCAGAAAGAAGAGAGGAAGTCAATGGGAAGGGAGTGGTCTTATATAGGTTCAACAAGAAGGGAGTGGTCACTGCTAAGGTGATTCAGCTGTGGCCTATCAAAAGCCATGTTGCCCTTTAAACTACGTGCCTTGTAGCTTAGGGCGGGGAAACAGAAACCTAAGATTACAAAATGGAGTTGAAGGTAGGGGAGAGGGAAAAACTCGGAAGTTACAGCCTAAAATAGAAGACCTGATATTGTAACAGACATTCCCATTCCAAATGGAATGGAGGGAAACAAGGGTCATGGGTTCCAAGGAAGTCCAAAACCCAGCATAGAATATTTCATTAGCTCTCAAGGCATAAAAAGAATCCTGTTTTCCAGACATATCTAGGCAATAGCTTCACCCTCCAGATTCTGGTCATACTTTCTAGACTGTGTAGAGGCCCCACCTTCCAGTCCGAGTGAATGGCAAGCCCACTCTTTTAGCTTTGGGCAACTGTTTTCTCCTGCCATCTAAGTGGTAACTCCATCCTCTGCCATGGTGGCTCCATTCTCCAGGTCTAGTTTTTCTAAAACTTATATAAACAATTTGAATTGACACTGTGAAACTTATTGCCCCACCCAATTCTCCTACTTTTGAGTTGAACAACATGATCATAATCATCATATATTCCTCTAAGTTACGCATGTAGTTAAAGGAGATTTTGCAAAAGAGAAAAAGAATATCAAAGTTAACATATAGAAGGGATGGCCTTACCTCTTTAACTTTGGGCAGTTGCTCCATTCTTCTGAATCAAGAAGAAAAATCACATGATTATACTAATTAATTTTTAAAAGGCATTTGTCAAATTAAAAACCCATTTGTGATTAAAAAGAAAAACTAAAAAAAAAGGGACATACCAAAACTTGATAATCTACAAATTAGTCTCAAAACACCATTAATCTTAGTTGTATAAACAGAATGTTTGTCACTAACATCAGGAATCAGACAGACATATCTGTTTTCAGAAAAATTATTCAACATGAAGTTCTAGTCAGTAGAATGAGGCAATAAAATACATATGTATCTGAAAAGAAGAAATTAAACTATCACTATCTGCATATAACATGTTTGTCTATGAAGAAAACCACAAAGAATTTACTTTTTAAAAAAGCATAAAATTATTAAGTGATGACTAGAGGAAGATAAAAAAATTTTTTTTGATAAAGGAAACAAGTGTAAATTGCTATAATTTGATGAACTTGACCTATACTTCTTGATGCAGTAGCCCAAAATACCAACTGAGAAGGAGGGAGTCTTCACATCAAGGATCAAGCCTGTCCCCTCTGTATACAGGGTTGATAGGGATGGGCAACTTAGACATTGTTGTTGTTGTTAAGTGCTGTCAAGTTGATTCCGACTCATAGAAATTGGCTACCTAAAATTGTTGTTGTTGTTAAGTGCCTTCGAGTCAGTTCCCACCCATAGTGACCCTGTACAGGGTTTCCAAGGCTGTAAATCTTTATGGGAGCAGAAAGCTTCATCTTTCTCCCACAGAGAGGCTGGTAGTTTCAAACTGCTGACCTTAAGATTTACAGCCTGATTCGTAACCACTATGCTACCAGAACTCCTTGAGGCTATAAAGGCATGAAAGGGTGACTGGCTTACAAGTCCTGAAGAGGGAGTTTAGTTTCAGAATGTGTGGGAGAAAGTAGAATCCACTGAATAGTTTTCATCTTGTCTAGATGGATTTGGTGAAAGGAGATTGGGATAAGATTTTTATGATTCAATAGTGAGTGATTGTTATCATGACTAATTGTGACTGTTAAAACTGTAAAGGTAGAAATTTTGTAACAAAAAGGGGGGAGTAGTTAATCTTACAGTCCAGGAACAGAGGACCCTAGGACCATCAGGGGAGAAGAGCATGAGCAGAATTGGGACCATAACCAGAGCAGTAGTGCCACCAGAGATGGAGGCAGAGATGATGACATGGAGAGATAGAATAGCTAAGGACTCTAGACTCATGAGAAAAGAAAGGCTGTGTGTTGGTGACCAGGAGGCAGGTTTGTAGAATGTGCCCTTTGGTTGTTTCAATGATTATATATTTCTGAGTGTTTTTGTGTACATTCAAAGAAAAACAGAGGGAATATAAGCAAATGTTGTTGAATGATGATGCACAGAGGAGACTGTAATCATTGCAGTGAAACGGTGAGTATAAAACTGATGTTATCCCAGGTAAATGATCACTCAATTCACAATAAAAAAAGCTTTTAAAAAATTATTGAGTGAGTTCATAAAGGTTTGGGAATGTTTAAAACAAAAACACAAAAAGCAAAAAACTATTGTATTTCTATTATACTAGCAATGAACACTTGAACATCAAGATGAAAAGTACAGTATTATTTGATGATAGAGGAATAGAATGAAGACTCAAGCATGTAAACTTTTAATCTATAGAAATTTTAAACAGCTCAATAGATAAAACAAAATCATCTTATGCATATCTTGTTGTTATTGTTGCTAAGTACAGTCGAGTTGGTTCTGACTCATAGTGGCCCTGTATAGAGAGTCCAAGGGGTGGCTGGTGAGTAAGAATTGCCCACCATGCCATTCAAACTAACCATGAGGTCAAATGCTTATCCTATAGTGCCACACCAGGATTCTATGCATATCTAAGATGGAAAAAAAAAAAATGTACCACAGTTAATTTTATTTCATTGTATCATTTGGGGAAATGTTTTCCTCCCAATTTTATAGTTGTACCTCTTCTCTTTGGACTACATAGTTGTTGCTGTTAGGTGTCATTGAGTTGACCCTGACTGATAATGACCTTAATGTACAACAAAACCAAACACTTCCTAGTCCTACACAATCAGTCATTCCTGTATTTGAGCTACTATGTCAATCCATCTCATTGATGGTATTCTTTTTTACAGACCCTCCACTTTCTCAAGCACAATGTCTTTCCCAAAGACTGGTTCCTCCTGATAACTTGTCCAGAGTATGTGAGATGAAGTCTTGCCATCTTCACTTCTAAGGAGAATTCTGGCTGTACTTCTTCCAAGGCATATTTGTTCATTCTTGCCAACACCGTATTTCAAGGACAAAAATTCTTCTTCAGTGTTCAGTTTATCTTTGGACTGTTTGGTATAGGATACTAAATAACCATAAATTGGCACAAATGGTTGCATATTCTATTACTTAGCTAAAAGGTTAGTGTATTGAACTCACCCAGATGTACCTTGGAGAATGACCCTGGCAATATGCTTCCAAAAAGTCACAACCTTGTAAACCCTATGGAGCGATACTACTCTACACACAGGGTATCACCATAAATCAGAATCAACTCAATGGCAACTAACAATAGCAACATATTTTCTACATCTAATCTCTTGGCTGAGTTAGAAAAAGCTGTCTACATAAGGTATTATCACATCATGACTTGCCAAGTTACACTGACGATAAATATATAAAGATCAAATAGCTCACAATGTACATTTAGAACACTATATAAAGTTTTATATATTTGATTGTTTTTATCTGGAGATCTGCTGTGCCATGGTAGGATAATCACTGGACTGCTAACTTTAAAGTCTGCAGTTCAAGCCTACCATCTGCCCCTCAGGAACCCTATATAGGGTTGATATGTGTTGGAACCAACTTCTTTGGCATTTGACGAAAACAACAACCTATAGAAAAGGTCAAGTTGAAAAATGTTTTAATGCAAAATATTCCCCAATCTACAGGAAGAACATGTGGTTGCAACCATAGAGTTTGAGTATTGCTTACAGGTGTCTGTTGTGCACTGTGCCTCACAGCACAGAAGTAGGTGGTTGAGTCATCAGTCTGAGATGTGGCAATGTATAAAACACTATGTCTTGATGATTTATCCAACAGGGCTTTAAGTCTTCTATTCTTTTGTTCCCTCTGATTTGACTGAATTACCAAGAGAGATTTGAGACCTTTCCCAGGGTCTTGCCTAAACCACTGAAGAAAGTACATTGCACTGTCAGTGTAACTGCAGTTGAGAGCCAAGGTCTCTCCCTCTTGGATAGTCAGAGCTGGAGGACTCTGTTGCACCTCCTGTTTGCTGCTCATGCCTGTTCAGAAAGAGAAAAACAGAGAGAGGGCTGGTGAATGGCTAATTGTCCTTTGGAAACGACTTTTAAATTTGTTTCAACTTCCACAGAAACTTCCAAAAGACCATACAGATATGCCTCTGTTGCTCTCTCTTGCTTTAGGGGAAATGTCCCAAAATTTGCTTGTTCTTTGCCCATTTCCATATCCCTCCAACTCACATTCTAGTTGCAGCCAAAGGATCAACAGGCCTAGGGTTTTCTCCATTCTTTCTGCCAGTTAAATTCACTGAGAACTGAATTCTTGTGTGTGAAATATTATAAGGACTTTCAAGATAGGAATCAAACTTTTCTGCTGTAAGCCCAGAGTTGACCCAGCCAATCAGAGACAAGTTGCACACAAACACACACTGATCTACAAACCAAGACAGGGTGGAGGATTGGCAATACTGCCATCTCAGGACCAAGTCCAGCATTGCTAGACAAATGTTTCTCTCACCTCTTCATTTGTTCCTCCTCCTATGTTATTTCTTCTTTTTTTCTTCTTTTCTTCATTTCCTTGTTTTTCCATTCTTCCTTTTCTGTTGCTATACTCCCCCTTTCCTTGTTCTTTTTGTCCTTTTTTCTTCTATATTTGTTAATCTTTTCTCCTTTCTCCTATTCATTTATTCATACGACACTTTTTTTTTTTAAAGTCCTTAACATAGACTACAAGTAATCTATCTTAGTAGCTATAAGTGTATGCTTTGTTGTTGTTGTTAGGTGCCATTGAGTTGGTATGGATTCATAGTGACCTTATGTATAGCAGAACGAAACATGGCCCGATCCTGGGCCAACCTCACTATTGTTGTCATGTTTGAGCCCACTGATGCTTCCACTTTGACAATCCATCTCGCTGGGGGTCTGCCTCTTTTTCTCTGACCCTCCACCCTACCAAACATGATATCCTTCTACAGTGTCTGGTCCCTACTGACAATATGTCTGAAGTATGAGAGACGAAATTCGGCCATCCTGGCCTCCAAGGAACACTCTGGCTGCACTTCTTCCAACACAGATCTGTTTGTTCTTTTGGTAGCCCATGGCACTTTCAATATTCTCAATATTCTCCATAAGTGCATGCTTACTTTGCTCTAAACAGTCTTTCCTGCTGTGGCTTCCAATCTTAGGGACATGCTGAAGAATCAGATTCAGCCTTTTGTTGTTGTTAAGTGCCGTCCAATTGATTCCAACTCATAGAGACCTTGTTTAGGGTTTCCAAAGAGTAGCTGGTGAGTTTGAACTGCCAGCCTTGTGGTTCACAGTCCAGTGCTGATCCTACAGTGCCACACCAGGAGTCCCAGATAAAGTCTAGGAAGGCAGAAATTACTGGAAGCTTACTCTATCCTCTGTTGTCTTTCCTTCTTCAGTCCATGAGTAGAAAAAGTGGCCATGGGGGTAGGGGAAGGGTTCTTCTGATTTTTTAAAATGGATGTAACAACTAGGATCGTCACTGTGAGGCTTGTCACCTCACCCTCATTCTCCTACTTTTGAGCTGAGTCATGGTCATCATACATTCCACCAAGTAGATGTGTTTAAAAGAGATTTTGCAAAAAAGAGGAAAAATAAATAAATACTTGTAGGCATATATGAAGGCGCTCTGGTAGCTTAGTGGTTATGAATCGGGCTGCGAACCTCAGGGTCAGCAGTTCGAAACTACTAGCTGTTCTGTGGGAGAAAGATGAGGTTTTCTGCTCCCATAAAGATTTACAGTCTCGGAAACCCTGTACAGGGTCACTATGAATCAGAACCGACTCCACAGCACATAACAAGAGCAACAGGCATTTATGACAGATAGCATCCAGATTTGGTATACTGTCTATAATATCAATTTCATTCTTCAGTGTATTTGTATAAGCTATAAAAGCTGGAGTTAAAACTGGTTAAGTCTGGTTGAAAGGAGTCGAGCACTATGGCTAGAGTCTTATACCACATTGTACACTAGAAGTATACAAAAACACATTACTTTTCTATAGATTCTATCAAGAAATATTAATATTAGTATTTTATGAACTGTTGGCAAAAGAAAATGTGATCCTATTTTTTATATATTAAAGTCACTACATGGTGTCAGTTTTAGAAAAATAGGTCAGCCCACAAATACAAGATTTTCAATATTCTCTCCATGTTAAAATACAAAAGAAAAATGGAAAGTACTGCTCTTTTAAGACTGCCTAGGAAAATTGGCTTCTATCTGCTACAGAAATTATTTCAAGTATGTTCCCTTTGAAAATTGTTCCTGGGTGTGTGTCAGGTTATATCAATATTCTTAAGCCCAATGTCCTTAAGGAATAATTAATTCACATTTTGTTCTATCAGACACAAAATACATCTGTGTGTATTAAGCAAATGTTATTAGATTTTAAAAAAATTTTTGGAAAGACAGCTTTATAGGCTTCATAATCTATGATGAAAAACATCAGCAATACTAGATTAAAAGAAAAATAATCAACCACAGGACAATGAATTACATGTGACATAATATGTAGACTTGGCCCTTAGTGTTATTTCTTTAAAGATTTTGAAATTTTCTAAATAACAGATTGATTTACAGCATAAAGAATATCATCTGTGAGTACTAAATTCCTTTTTAAAAATCATTTTTTTGAGACCAATTGGCCAACAATTACTTTAAGGTCAAAATGAGAATAAGGAGACAGGGAAACTAGAGTACTGGAAATGGCAGAACCAGAATGGAAACAATAACAATGTTGATGCAGTGTGAAGAATGTCACCAATGTCCCCGAAAAACCTATGTAGAGTTTGTTGTATGGGAACTTAATTTACTGTGTAAATATTCCCCAAAATGAGACATGATTTATTTTTAATTTTTATTGAGTTAAATCTCACCAATCATTATAAATAGATACGTTTCTGTGCTTTGTTATGGAGAAGCTGGGAAAAAAGATGCGTATGTTGCAATTACATTTAGAATTCCTTTCCATCAATTGAGATAGGGTTATGTGCTATGGAGTCGGTTTCAACTCATAGTGACCCTGTACAGGGTTTCCGAGGCTGTAAATCTTTACGGAAGCTGAAAAGCCTCATCTTTCTCCTGCACAACAGCTGGTAGTTTAGAACTGCTGACCTCATGTCTCACAGCTCAATTTGTAACCACTACGCTATGAGAGCTCCTTGGTCAAAGCATTTTCCCTAGGCATAGTTATGTCCCTGATGAGATTAAGGCTATGAAACAGACTTCCAGACTTAACTCGGTGGTGAGGGGGTTTGTGCAGGGGGGATGAGTTCCCTTGATATCATTTTGTGCTCTAAGAGGATGAATCTGAGAGAAGAAAATAAAAATTTTAAGGATGACCTCCAACCACAGCTCTCTCATCACTTTTTCACAATCCAAGAGAAAGAATATATTTTATAGAAGATTTAATGCTACAAGGAGAGTAGAAGATTTTTCTTCGCATTTAAGATAACTGGATCAAATCTTATACAGCCATGAGAAGATGGAGAAAGTCCCATCTGAATGCCAAGAAAGAACAGAAGAAGCTCAGATACGGAGTGACGTACTCAAAGTGATATTATTATTGTTGTTAAGTGCCGTTGAGTCATACCTACTCATATCAACCTTGTATAGGATTTCTGAGGAGCAGTTGCTAGATTTGAACCACCAACACTTAGGTTAACAGCCCAATGCTTATCCTACAGTGCCTCACCAGGACTCCATCAAAGTAATTGTTTTTGTTATTAAGTGCCATCAAGTTGGTTCAGACTCACAGTGACCCTGTATAGGTTTCCAAGGAACAGCTGTTGGTCAGAGCCTGATCTCAAAGCCAAATCTCCTGATTACCCAGCTGCTAAAATGACTCTAGGGATCATGCATCTCTTTGTTGTTCCTAGATGTCCTCGAGTTGGTCTTATGTACAACAGAATGAAACATTGCCTGATCCTGTGCCAGCCTCACAATTGTTGTTAAGCTTGAGCCCATTGCTGTTGTCACTGAGTCAATCCATCTCATTGAGCTTCTTCCTGTTCTTTGCTGACCCTATGATGTCCTTCTCCAGGGACTGGTTCTTCCTGATAACCTGCTCGAAGTATGAGAGACGAAGTCTCGTCATCCTGGCTTCTAAGGAGCATTTGGCTGTATCTCTTCAAACACAGATTTGTTAGTTCTTCTGACAGTCCTTGGTATTTTTAATATTCTTCTTCAACACCCTAACTCAGATGCCTCAATTCTTCTATGGTCTTCCTTATTCACTGTCCAACTTGCACATGCATGTGTGTGTTGCATTAAGCTACTGAAAATACCATGGCTTGGGTCAGGTGCGCCTTAGTCCTCAAATTGAAATCTTTGCCCTTGAACAGTTAGAAGAGGTCTTATTCACCATATTTGCTTACTTCTATGAGTCGTTTGATTTCTTGTCTGCTACTTCCATAAGTGCTGATAGTGGATCCAAGGAAAATGAAGTTTGACAACTTCAATCTTTTCTGAATTTACCATGAGTTATTTATTGGTCCAGTGGTGAGAATTTTGGTTTATTTTACTTTAAGGTGCAACCTGTATTGAAGGCTGTGACCTTTGATCTTCGTCAGTAAATATGCATATCGAATCCAACATTCAGTAGACCTTATCCCTATAGCAACTCATTCCGTTTAAAATGGGATGACACAGAGAGAGGAAGACCAGGAGGTCTGTGTAGCCTTTAACCATAGATGACCGATTTTGGTGTCAATTTTTATAGTGATAGAAGTAGGGATTTTTTGTGTGTTTTTTTGATGGTTTGGGAATTTTTTTTATTATATCTATTTCAATTCTCTGAAATTTGATAAGGTAAGGAAATGTTTACAAGGCTACTTCCTCCTTTCTTGTAGTCCCTTTTCTTTCCTCTGTTTTTTTCTTTTCTTCTCTGCAAAGGGCATGCCATTGTAGGTCTCTCTTTTTCTCTGTTTTTTTTGTTTGTTTGTTTGTTTTTTGTTTTTAGGTAAGACCCACCATTAATAAATGTCTTCCAGACATGCATGTTTACAGAAACA